CACACACACACACACACATCCTGACCCTGTGTGTCTAAATAGAACAGTGCTCTGTGGGGATTTCCAATAATGGAGCTTTTAGAAGTAGTTCGTCAAGCACATAGGTAGAATTGAACTTACAATGATCTGGTTAGCAGTGAACTTATTAACTGTTTGCACAACACATCTGTTTGGACAGACCAGGGGAGATAGTGCAGTGGATTGAGCGTGTGGGCTCTGCCCACTCCAGCTGTCTGAATTTGGGCCAGTTACTCTGTCTCTCTAGACTTGGGGGCCAAAACACATATTCACAGGTTGTGGGTTAGATGAGAAGAAGTGTCCAGTGACACAGTGCCCAGCGCATGGCACCTGTTGATCTGAACCATTTAGGGAGTGCTGTTCTCGAAGTTCTCATCCAGGCCCCTTCCTTCCTTTGATTTGAACACTTCTGTCTTCTCTCTCAGGCCTCATGTGCCGGTTACCAAGCCCGCATTCTGACCTGTCCAAGCAACTACTAACATGCCTTTCAGAATCTTTCCCCAAATGATTGAAGCAAATACTTTTTGGATTCTTTTTGTCTAGTGACGCTACAGTCTTCCAATGGCATAGAATCTTACGAGATTTAGAGTCTATGACTCTTTGGGCTCTGTCTCTCTGCTTCTGTCCTGTGTCCCCCCTCCTTCTGCCTATTACTTCTCTGTACCTCTGTTTTCTTAGTACATCTTTCTTGAGTATCACTTGGGGGCCAGGGACTTGCTAGTTGCTGGGGGTGTAAAAGCAGTGGGGATGCAGTCTCTGCCCTCAGGAATGAACACTTGAGACAGAAAATGTGAAGGACAGCGTGTATGGGTAATTCAGCGGGCAAAGAGTTCTGGGAGCAACTAGCAAGTCCCTGGCCCCAAGAGATTCTCGAAAAAGATGTACTAAGAAAACAGATGTAGAGAGAAGTAATAGGCAGAGGGAGGGGGAAACACGACAAGCAGAGAGAAAGAAGGCCAGAGAAGTCTTAAATACTTTAACGCTATGTATGCATGTGTTGGCCCAGTAGGCTGCTAACCTCAAAGCTCGTAGTCCAAACCCACTGGAGGAAGATGAAGCTTTTGGCTCCTGTTAAGATTTACAGTCTCCGAAGCTGTTTGGAGCAGTTCTACTCTGTCCCATAGGTCGCTATGAACCAGGATCGAGGGCAGTGGGGTCGGCTTTTCGTTTGGTATCCAGGAGCTGTTTCCTGTCACATGATACAGCTCCCTCAACGGTTCATACCGGTGCATCTGTCTGGAAACAGGTGAAGCACCTTGTACAGTCAGAGCCTTGATACCGGATGATCAAAGTTGCCTCCAGTGAGTGGGTGTGCATGGGTGCTGTGAAAGCAGCAGAGACCGTAGGGGATGCACGTGGAACACCATAGGATGAAGACATTTCTACCGGTGGTGTATAGATGGGTATGTTCCTTAATTTCTTTTTTACTTATTATTTTTCCCCAGCTCCTGTCACACATAGAGAAACTTCGGACCTCAATGATAGATGATCTAAACACAAGTAATGCTTTCTACAAGAAGAGGATAGAAGAGTTAGGACTGAGGCTACAGGAACAAAATGAACTGATCATTACTCAGAGGCAGCAGGTACCTCTGGTTATCTGTCGGCAGGCACAGGGCTTCTTTAAATAGTGTACTTTATGGAAGAAAATATGCTTTTATTTCAGAACATTTGTAAGCTGTGTACGTTAAAGTATCTGGAGTCCCCACCCCCACAATTGCTTATAAAAGTAAATCCAGTGAGATAAACTTTTTAAAAAACACCCTATTTTTAAATGCTGAATTTTAAACTCCTGCAGAGCAGATTGATTGGTTTCAAGTTTAGAACCAATTTGAAGGTAGGTAAGAATTTCTCTTGGTCATTGGTTTAAAAAGCAGCTAGATCCAAAGATTCGTTTGTGCCATGTCTCCCCCCATGTCTTTAAGTCCGTGTGTGTTGTACCTTTGGAGAATTTAATGAGAAGGCTTATTTTCCTGCACAGAGTACAGGATCTGTGCATCGTTACAAAACTAATTTTCTTTGCAGATTAAAGAGTTTACCAGTAAACCATTAAACAGTGCCAGTGAACCCAAAGGTAAGTGGGCCGGCGCATGGTGCCAGAGGCAAAGGGTGCCTCCCTGGCTGTGTGCTGGGCATCAGAGGAATGTGGGGATGCAGGCTTTATGTCTGCTGAGTGGACATTCCTCTTGGGAGATGTGGCCTCTTATGATTTTCATCTGGGATATCTGCTACCATGGCTCAGAAAGTCAGAGTCATCTGTATGGTCTTCTAATATTATTTCATATGATGATATTTTCTATCTGCATAATGTTAGCACATGATCCATGCTGAGGAACCATTTATAGGTGGGTGGAGAACATTACGGCTGGAGGTAAAGGGTGCAGAGACCAGCTCCAGTGTTCTGCACTTGGTGGCTTTGTGAGCCTCTGCCTCAGTTTCCTCTTCTCTACAGTGGGAAGATTAATAGTAACTCCACCATAGACTTATGAGGATGTAAAATGTACCTGTTTGAATGCTTATGGGTCTTCACTATCATTAGTGATCCAAAAGCCAAACTGACTGCCAACTCATAGCAACCTTACAAGACAGAGTAGAACTGCCCATGTGAATTTCTGAGACTGTAACTCTTCATGGGAGTAAAAAAAAGAAACACCCAGTATTTCTACAGCAGACTGGTAGTTCTTAACTGTGGACCTTGCTGTTGGCAGCCGAACTCGTAGCCACTATGGCACCAGGGTTCCTCTCACTAGTGGTGGCAAAACTAAAATTTTCTCTATACCATAGGTACTTGCCGTGACAGTCTCAATTGTAGCATCTTGAAGGAGAAAACGAAATCAAACCAAACCCACTGCTCTTGAGGCAAGATCCTCTGAGTCGATTCTGACTCACAGTTGCCCTTGGGGATGGGACAACCGCCCCTGCAGGTTTCTGAGACTAAAGCTTGCCCGGAGTAGAAAGCCTCACTTTTCTCCCACAGAGCGGCTGGTGTTTTTGAACTACTGACCTGTGGTTAGCAGCCCAGTGGGTAATACACTGGACTACCAAGGCTCCCTAGGTTGGAATAAGCACTGTCTAAATTTAGTCTATGGCTTGTGAGCTCTGTTATTAACTATTTCTTTGTTGTTGTTATTTTAGGGAATCCTTTAACCTGGCAAGTGTTTGAATCTAAGCCAACCATCCCAGGTATACCTAGTAAGTTTCTATAATAGGCTCAGAGTTCTAATTTTTTAATTTTCAAAATGATAAACCCAAGTGTAACCTTTGTTTATTTTTAATTTTCAAAGACCTTTCTTTGAGCGCTGGTTTATTTGGAGATGACATCATTTTGATTCCTGGTTTTGACCCAGCCCTAAAGCCTAAAGTTATGAACATTTATGTTATTTGGATCAACCATACTTACTACTTTGCATTAGTCTAATAAAGGAAGGGCCTAGTACCAATTCTTTGGCACATTCAAGTTTATACTGTGGGCTTCCTAGAATTCTACCCTGTGACTGCAGCCCCCTGTGGCATATGTCACATTTGACTTCCCTGAGCTTCACCGGGTCAACTCGGCCTGCCTGTCTCCCAGAGCTGTCATGATTTGGCAGAACACCAGAAAGCCATAATCTTAAAGCCGAGAATCTAAAAATGGCAGGAAATGCACTTCTCAAAAAGAAAATTCAAAATCCCAGAAGGAAAGAAAATGTAGACCTTCCACGACTACATCCATCCCTATTCACAGTGACCCTGTGGACGGTTCCTGAGCCTGGAAGTCTCCCACAGAATATCCGGTAGGATTGAGCCACTGACTTTACACTGGGAGTCCAGTGCTGATGGCCCTCAAAAAGCAATTTAAAAAAAATCATTTTACTGGGGGCTTGTACAACTCTTATCACAATCCATACATCCATCCATTGTGTCAAGCACATTTGTACATTTGCTGCCATCATTTTCAAAACTTTTTCTTTGTACTTGAGCCCTTGGTATTAGCTTCTTGTTTTTCCCCTCCCCCACCTCCCTCAAGAGCCCTTGATATTTTATAATTTATTATTATATTTTCATGTCTTACACTGACCGACGTCTCCCTTCACCCACTTTTCTGTTGTCCATCCCCAAGGGAGGGGATTATATATAGATTGTTGTGATCAGTTCCCCCTTTCTCCCTCCATCTTCTCCTCACCTGCCTGATATGGCTACTCTCCATTATCGGTCTTGAGGGGTTTATCTGTCCTGGATTCCTTGTGTTTTCAGCTCTTATCTGTACCTGTGTACATGCTCCGATCTAGCCGGATTTTTAAGGTAGAACTGGGGTCATGATAGTGGGAGGAGGAAGCATTAAAGAACTAGAGGAAAGTTGTATGTTTCATTGGTGCTATACTGCACCCTGACTGGCTCGTCTCCTCCCCGGCACCCTTCTGTAAGGGGATGTCCAGTTGCCTACAGATGGGCTTTGGGTCTCCACTCTGGACTCCCCCTCATTCACAATGATATGATTTTTTTGTTGTTCTTTGATGCTTGGTACCTGATCCTATTCACACCTCGTGATCACACAGGCTGGTGTGCTTCTTCCATGTGGGCTTGTTGCTTCTCAGCTAGATGGCCGCTTGTTTACCTTCAAGACTTTAAGACCCCAGATGCTATATCTTTTGATAGCCAGGCACCATCATTTTTCTTCACCACATTTGCTTATGCACCCTCTTTGTCTTCAGCAATTGTGTTGAGGGAGTACTTGAGTAGAGGTCCAATGTTCATCTGCTACCTTAATACTAAACCTATAAATATATGTACCTATATGTACCTAATATATGTAAATATATTTACATATGCACATGCCTGTATTTAGACCTCTATAAATGTCCTTTGCCTTCTACTTCTTTCTTCTATATCCTTTTACTTTCCTCTTATCCCACTATAATGTTCGGCCTTCATTTGAGTTTCAGTAATTCCTCTCAGTTACATTCTTCTTGATCAAGCCCTACTAGGCCTCCAACGCCCTCCTTGCCATCGATTTTGGATCACTTGTTGTTCCCTTGTTCTTGGGTTTGTTAGCACCTCCTTCCTTTCCCCCGCTTCCCCCTCTCCCATGTCCCCACTGGAACTATTGTTCCCGTTGTTCTCTTCTCCAGATTGTTTATCCCACCTATCTTATCTAGATAGACATGCAGAGATAATAATATGCACAAAAACAAGACAGAGCAAAACAAAGCAACAAAAGAAAACAAAACAACAACAAAAAGAGAAATGCCTATAAAGAGTTCTTGGTCTGTTTGTTGACTTTTAGGAGTGTTTTACAGTTGAGTCTGATGGGGTGCCAAGCCCTGGCCCCAAAGTCTATTTTTGGTATTCCCTGGGGACTTCGTTGCTTTGCTCCCCTTGCTGTTCTGTTGCACGGCCCTTAGTGTTTTGCCTCAGTGTTTCACCTCAGTGTGGTGGGGTCAAATTGGTTGCAATTCCTGCAATGTATCTCCATTGTTGCCCCCTGTAGCACTATGGGTCAGTGAGGGATGTTGTGCCTCCTAGTGGAGCCAGCCCTATGGTCCTCTCTGTGCGTTGGCTGCTCTGAGTGGGAATATTGTCCTCAAGGCTTGGTGGGCCAGGATGTGCTCGACTCTCTCTTCCTGTCCCTTCATTTGCTCCTGTGATCTGACCAGACATGTCTCTCTCCCTGAGCTGTAGCTTCAGTGCTGTCCTCTGAAGTGAATTCTTCTAGGGGGAGGCGGGGCTGTCCACGTAGTTGGGATTGGGGCCAGCCCCTCACACCTCTCGATTGGTTCACTGTTTTATGCCGGTAGGTTACATTCCATCTTGGAGCACTGGTTAAGTTTGGTCCCTCTTTCCCTGTGGAGATATAAATAACACACTCCCCTTGGGTGGGTTAGTGCGCTGTTTTCCCCAACTACCCATGTCTTTTTTTCCCCTGTCCTTTTTAGCTGGCTCTTTATGAGAGTAGAAAGCTTCATCTTTCTTTGGAGCTGGCTGGTAGTTAGGAACTGCTCATCTTGCAGTTAGCAGCCCAGCTCCTAACCACTATGCCACCAGGGCTTTTTTTTTTTTTTTTTTTAAATCAGATACATTCTTCTCTAAAGGCTTCAGCTAAATGAATGGTCAAGCACATAGCTTCCTAATCCAGGAACTGGAATATTTTAAGAAATTCATTTTGTATGTGAGAGTTCATGGCAGCATTATCTATAATCTACAAAAAGTGGAAACAACCCAAATGCTCATTAACCGATGAATTGATAAACATGTGATATATATATTATGGGATAGTATTCAGCCACATAAAATCATGAAGTACTTACCAAAAGAAACACTTTGGGTGTTAGCAAGGGAGGGAAGATGAAGTAATAGCTAGAGGGTTGGCCGGTGTTCACTTGGGTCAAAGGGAAGATAGTAATCCACAGAAAGGAGCAGAGAAATCCAAAGGAGGGCGGGCAGGTGGGAGGGAGAGTAACCTAATGGGTTTGACAAGTACCTTACATGTTGAACATAAAATGGATGGTATGCAATATAGACCCCCACCTAATTCACAGTTTTCCAAAAAAGAATGATGTGTCCTGCTTCATGCCGCCACAAGCATGACCGGGGAGAGAAGAGGCTGGGGGAGGGAAGGGAGAGAGGGAGTGTCATTGGCCCATACATATAGGGGATGATTTGGGAATGATGACCACGTGTTAAAATTTGATAGCGGTTGTCATTGAATAACTGAACATACTAATACCAACTAAATAGTAAGTAGTAAAAGAGTGAACTCTGCTTTCACCAACCTGTCCTAGAAATGAATGTAGATGAGTCGTGCCCTATGCTGGCCATCTGAAGCATGTGTCCCCGGTATACATCTTGACTCATTTGGGGTTATCTGGTTACCAGCCTGTTCCCAGGCTCTCCTTGTCTTGGTGGACCCCTGTGAGCATTTCTCTTTCTTGCTGTTTCAGTGAAGGCCACTGGGCCCCAGACTTTAGATGCCAACTCAAGTTCAACAGTAGCTCCAGGTAAGTTTCAGTAATATTCTAAGCGGCTCTGCATCCACGTTACCGCCTGCGATGGAGACTGTGGTAACTGGAGACTGTAGGAGTAATTATGTAAAGCAGAAAACACCTTTAACGACTTAAAAACCACTAATAAAACTGTAGTCTGTGATGTTTCTTAGCAGAAGCACTGAGTCCCTAAAGCCTCAGGCACATCTATTCCCTGATTCAGAAGGAGAGATTATTAACTTTGGCTTGCGTTTTTCTTATTTATGATTTCTGGTGAGAAGTAGTAAATCTTGGGCAAGAATGACGTGACTTTCTCCTAGGAAGGCCAGCCAACCAGCACATGCCACAGGGCATATGTGATTGTTTTTCTAACTTTCAGTGGGGCAGCAAGTCGCCTCATTTAAACAAACAGTTTCAGCAACTGGTTGGGAAAGTCTAGAAAGGACTCGTGATGGAAACTAGAAGGGGAAGGTGGGCCCCACTAGACAAAGTCAGTGCCAGCTTCCAGTTTGTGGACCAGATTACAAGAATGGGGGTTGTTGTGTACCTGAGCCAATAGATGGTGGGATCACTTGGAGCCATAGTTTACTTTTAAACAATTAAAGCGCTTGCAGTGTTTCACTGTGTGCTTTTAAAATATATACTGTGTTTTCTTATGGGTCTGCCGCTTGTAACACAGGAAGTCAGCTGCGAGAGCTGCCTTCTCGTTTTACCCTGACTTAACCTACAGATGCTTCTGGAGGTAATGTCTACTTCAATCCGTTTGGGTTTTAGCCTTCTGGGTAGAGTTAAATCCTTGATCGGCCTGGTTAGTCCACTGGGACTTTTTTGTCTTATAAATAAAGAAGGTGGTTAGTGGTGATTCTGTTTTGCTCGTGGAGTGAGTTGTTTATTGTACCTTACTTTCTTCTAAGAGCATCTCAGCTGGATCAGCTCCCTTAAGCGTCTGACCCTAGTATGTAATGTAGTCATTCTCCACGTATTAGGCTTTACTATTTACAAGTGTAGAGTTTTGTTTTGTTTTCTCCTCTCTTCCTTTGGATAGGAGCAGAGATAAAACATATATAAATTTGCTCTAGTACTGAATAAGCTAGGAAAGCATCTTTGCCAATCACTTGCTGTTTATAGTTATGTCAGGTCTAAAGTATGTCTGCATTGCCTCCCTGTGTTTGAGGGTTGGTGTTTCTCCAGCATTGCTGGACGCTTCCTTTCTGGCCTTGAACCTTTCCCATTTGGTTCTTGTTACCCTTCGTATGGCATCTCTCGCTGCCCGTGTTCCCGTTGCCCAGTGTGTAGGGACCCAAGACAGGCCTCTGGGGAACTGCTGAGGCTGACTCCAGGATCCTGACAGATCTATCCACTCTAAACTGCTGTGTCCAATTGCAGTCCTGATCCTGATTAGATCAGGCCTGAAGCAACCGTCAGTTCTGCCCCACTCCTAGAATCTTCGGGAACGGAAGGCCAGTTTTAAATGCTGGCCAGATCTGGCGGGCCCACCACCCGTGGATGGGGGTCTAAGCCTAGGCGTGTGCATCTCCATAGGCCAGGAGCTGGGGAGGCTTCACTGGAGCCCACAGACTGGTCCCACAGTCATGGCAGCTCCCCCGCTGGTGATGAGGGCATGTATGTGGAGTGGAGGCCAGTAATTCGGAGTGTATTGCATAGTATAAATTGACCTGTTTATCCCTGACAAGGTGAAAAAAGTCCTTTTGTTCCATCACAAGGCTTGCTGTAGTTCTTTACTGCAAAAGATGTCACAATTGCTCACTGCCATAGATTGGACTCTCTGGAAAAAAGATTCACCTGTGGAAGGCTAATTGGAACGTGCTCTTGGGCAGCACTGAGGGAACAGTTTTAAGGGAGGTGTGGGAGAGTGTTGAGCCCAGATGCAGCTAGCAAAGACCTCTGGGAGCTTTTGGCCTGGGCGGGGCATTCTGGCATTGCCCTCTATTGAAGATAGGGCAGGGCCCTTACTCTCACACGTCCATCACGTGTTCGTGGTGGGCTGTGGCAGGATGGGAGTGCTACCTCTTCCTTTACCCAAGGGCTACTGTGGAGAGCGCTACCTCTGTGAGCTGCCCTGGAAGGGGGCCTGGGGAAAATGGGAACTGTGATAACCACCCCTCCTTTTTGACTTGGATACTCAAATTCAACAATGTAACTGTGAGGATTGATGCTGAGGCAATAGATAGGATGAAGCATCGAGTTTTAGGAAGCTATATGATGGAACTAGATCACTGTTCATTGCCATTACATTTTTCCTGGTTAAAAAAAAAAAAAAAGACCCTCCATCTTTTCACTGCAGGAGAACATTCTGTTCATGGAGTTATGCTGTGGCAGAGTGCAGGGAGGAAAGTAAACTTTGCTGTTGTTAGGATAGCAAGACTATACACTGACCTGATAACACACGTGCCCTGCTCTTAAGTGAGGCCAGGCAAAATACTCATCTCTTGTGGTGAGGATGCTAAATGGTCACTTGGCCCTATAGGCCCAAAGCCTATGGGGACCTGCTAGCTCCATTTAGATCGAAATAAATATCTTTATTTTGGTATCTAAGTTGTCATATGTAATTCTGATTTTAATTAGAGCTAGACTGAGACCCAAAAGAAGTTAAACATGGATTTTTAAGTGGTCATGGTTTGCTGTTAAAAAGTTAGAAACATTTCCATTACTGTTCTTTTGTTTTCAAAGTAAATATCTGACATTTCAAGATGTTGAAACTTATCACAACACTCTTATTCAAGCGATATTGCATTGTCCAATATATGAAATTTAGTCTACAGTAGAGTTCTGGTGGCTCTTGATGGGAAGAAAGCTTTCCCCATCTGACTGCATGGGAACCCAACAGTGTGGAGGAAATGGACTGGGGACTGTTGAAGGGAAAGAGAGTAGACCCTCTTAAAGGGGGTGTGGGTGGGGGTGTTTGATCTTTTTGAGCCAGCTATACTTCATACGTGCATACTATCATAAGGAGAAGCGTTTGTATGTGGCTGGCAAAAAGAACAGTCTAATCAAGAAAGAATTCAGCACAGAATTTAGAGAACTCTTCACCTGTAGTGGTGAGTTAAACTAGCCACTGATAATGATGGCATTTCTCCAGCTGTGTCCTGTGCCAGCCCTGCCTGTCTACTCCCTCTCACCCAACTGTGGGCCGCATGAATGACGGGCTGCTCTTAGATGCCCAGGCTAGCACGGTCCATAGAGAAATGAATCAGAAATAGCCTGCACTCAATGAATGGACCATCTGAAAGGGATACCATCCAAAGACACGTTTCATTGGGTAAGTCTGCTAAACAAGACATCTTTAGAGTGTTGAAAAGAAAGGATGTTCCTTTGAAGACAAAAGTGCCCCAAGCCATGGTATTTTCAGTCTCTTCACATGCAGGTGAAAGTTGAACATTGAATGGAAAATCCACCACAGAAGAATCGATGGAGAGGAATATGGAAAGCACCATGGACTGCTAAAAGGACAAACCAGTCTGTTTTGAAAGCAGTCCAGCCAGAGTGCTCCGTAGAGGCAAGGATGGGGAGACTTCCGTCTTACAGACTTTGAACATGTTGCCAGAGAGACTGGTCCCTGTAGAAGGACATCATGCTTGGTAAAGTAGAGAGGCAGAAAAAGAGGAAGACCCTCAGCAAGATGGATTGACACAGTGGTTGCAACAATAGGTTCAAGCACAGGAACAATTGGGAGAAGAGCACAGGACTGGGCAGTGTTTTGTTCGGTTGTGCATGGAGTCACTATGGGTCTGAACTGATCGATAGCCTCTTACAACAAAAACAACAACAAGGGACACCAAACACTCTTAAATGTGGCACCAAGTGGGAACCATTCGGTCTACTGGACCTAATGTCCTAATGTGCCTTCAGGCAAAGAAGAGATGATCTTCAATTCCAGGGACTGGGAGAAGGCGTCACAGAGGAGCTGGCATTTAGCCATCTGAGTTCAATAGACTTGGAATAGGGGTGGCCTTCTAGGTAATGCAACACAAAAATAGAGAGTAGGAAGCACTAGATTAGAATTCGTAGGACAGATTACTTGGCTGGACCTAAAGTCTGCAGGAGAAATTTGAGGGGGATGCTGTTGGCGGGGTTCATGGCAGCTATTGAGTACCAGCACACAGCTGCTGGGAGTGACTCTTTGGGCAGCATGCAGCGGCAGAATGGTCATAAGGTTGGGCTGCGGGAAGCCCAGGCTTACCAGAGTGTATATGATGGCGAGGGGGGCTGTCTGTAACCTTCTGTGAGACACGCGTAGGAATCAAGGTCGTGGTAATGACAGTGGAGCGTCATAGCTGTTCTGTGGAATTGGCATTTGGTGAGCTCAGAGAATGGCTGGGCGGCAGTGCCCTTGTTGAAGCCAGGGAGAAGGGAGGAGGAGGGAGTTCAGCAATGCTGTGAGCACCGGCAGGGAGGCTGTGTCCCTTCCAGGGAAAGTTCTTGGACTGAGCAAGCCGAAAGTGGGGATTCACAGTCCATTCAGGTGGCTATAAGGTGAAGAGAACATTGACAACCCCGTCCCTGGGTGGTTGAAGCGACTAAATGAGGCAGGGCATTCTTCAGAGCCAGATCCATTCAGTAAGTACTGCTGGTGTTAGCTCTCACAGTAGGGATGATGAAATCCAGTAAGGAGTCAGCCAATGCAGGAAAAGCACTGTGTCCTAAATACTGACTCAGGAGCTTGCCTTCTGGATGTAAGGGCAGGACATTGAAATATAACTGTTTCTGGAAGCCTCCATCTTCGGGAATGCCTAGGGGAGATTGATGTCTCCCAAATGTTCCAGCTCCTGCCCAGGACTGGGGTGTGTGGAGACTGGACCAGTGGCTTCTTCTTGAGCTGAGGCTGGCTGGGCCCTTTGCTTCCCCACCTGGGACATGAGCCTACTTGTTGGGGGCTGTGGAGCCCGTGCTCCTCAGCCTTCGCAGAGTAGGACTTGGGTACTCTACCTGACCCAGGCAGCCAGCCAGAGGAGTATAGCTGTAATGCACCGAGGAAGGAAAGTCCATACGATGATTTTGTGAAGATCTGAGAGAAAAACAACTTCCTCATGATCTCTTTGTAATTTTCATAATGTGCATTAGCATTCCTATCATCATTTTTTTTTATCACAAATGAATTCTCCTAAAGTCTATGTTTTTTAGCAGTTCAAACTAGTGGAATAACCCATTTGTGTAATTAAACATCTTAACGCTAAAGAACAGATTTGAAAGCAGTGTGTGTGTGTGTGTCTCAGTCACGGAATGTGAATGGACTTAAAAGTCCCTTCTGGAGGCCCGCTGGTCAAGCCACAAGAAACATTTAAACCGGTGTGAGGATATGTTTAAAATCAGGAGCCTTGGTGGCACAGTGGCTAAGTGCTCATCTGCTAACAGAAAGGTTGATGGTTCATACCCACCAGCCCCTCTGTGGAAAACGATGTGGCAGGCAGCTTCCATAAAGACAACTGCTTTGGAAACCCTGTGGGGCAGTTCAACTCTGCCCTATAAAATTGCTATAGATTAGAATCACCTCGATGGCAGCACGTTTTATACCTAAAACCCGAAAAACACAGCCAGTGCCCTTGGGTTCATTCCCACCCTCGGCGACCCCACGTATTTCGGAGTCGAACTATTACTACGCCATCGATTGTCTTTGGTTGTAGTCTTTCGGGAAGCAGAAAGCCAGGTCTTTTCTTCGGCAGTGCTGCTGTATGGTTTTTTTGAACCACCAACCTTGAGTTCGTAGTTGAGTGCAAACCATTTATACCACCAAGGGGCATGTACCGAAAATACACAATCAAGTGCCAGAAAGACCCTCTAATAAACTCATACCAGACCTTCAAGTAGGCAGGAATTAAACCCGAGATTCTATGTGAAAACCTCCTTGTCCTATGCCTGGCAGCAGAGTGGCACTCCGAGTGTTGGCTGGTGTTGCCCTTACCCATTGCCCACTATATGGTCTGACAGTGGGGCAGAATGACTTCTGACTTGTAGGTGGAAGTGAAGAACCACACTGGGAGGGGCCTTGTGCTGACTGTAAGGGAACCATATACCACACAAATCTGACTTCCTTGTTCCTGGTCCTTAAACCTGTCATGCTAAGCAGACTTCTCTCCTGAGAAGGAAATTGCCCACTACTGATAGGATGGAGTTTGGTTTTATCCATGCTGCCTGGGAAGAGTTACCCAGAGGTCTTCTTCCCCTCAGCCTTGTGCTGGTGCTGGGCTTGGGAAAAGCATTGCTTCCACCTGAGCCTTTTCTGCCCAGCTGTGCCAGTACCTGGGGCCCTAGTGGCATTAGTAGTTACACTTTGGGCTGCTAAGCAGAAGTTCAGCAGTTCAAAACTACCAGGCACTCTGTGCGTGAAAAATGAGGCTTTCTGCTTCTGTAAAGAATCAGTCGAGGACCTAATGTCGGGGGTTTAAATGGAGAGAAAATGTTTTGAGAAACGATGTACAAATGCGCTTTACACAATTGATGTGTGTGTGGATTGGGATAACAGTTGTATGAGCCCCTAATAAAATGTTAAAAAAGGAAAAAAAAAAAGAAAAAAGAATCACAGTCTTGGAAACCCACAGGGACAGGTCTGCCTTGCTCTCTAGGGTCAATCCGAGTTGGCATCAATTTGATGGCAGTGAATTTGTGTTTTTGGCTTGGGTGGTGGCAGGTACTTCTCCAGCCCACAGCCTTTCCCTGAGAACCCCCAAGGGCAGAACTGCCCCACAGGGTTTCCTCGGCTGCCCTTCAGTACATCCCTGGGGCTTTTCTCCTCCTCATGGAATGACTGGGTGGCTTAAGTTGCCCATCTTTAAGTTTGGAGCCAAGCGCTTAACTGCTGTGATACCAAGTCTCCCTCAGGGACAGAACTAGGTATTGGAAAACAGTGTGAATCAAATAAATGTGTAAGACTAGGTCTAGGTGACCTGCCCATGAGCCCTTTACCATCTTAGTCCTACCACTTGAAGGCCCTGGATGAGCCTGCTGGGGGGTGAGGAGGAAAGGCAGGGAGGGGGAAGGATGGAGACAATGGCGTATGAAAGGCTTTGTTTATTTTTTTTTAGCCCTTTGGAATTGAAATAGTCTCATTAATGTTCTATTTACTCACCAAACTATTTCATAAGGAAAATCATTTTTTCCAGAAGTGATTAAAAAGAGGCAAAGCCACAATATCTTAGTGCCATAAATGAATCACATCAGGCACTAGGCTGTTGGGCAAGAATCCTTGACCAGTTAGTGAGAAATGTAATTTCTGAAGTGAAGTGTTTGGAGAGACTATGCCAGGAGAAAGTGTAACCACCTTTAGCTGACCACTGCCATCTTCTTTGCTCCAGTAAAGCCTTGTTATTAAGCCATGACTAAAATACCATGGAATTATGTTTCACGGTTGTTTAAAAGGAAACTAACTTTTCTTTACTATTGTCCTGTTTCTACTATTCTTATTTCTCTCATCAATAGAACAGGCACCCTCGTTGCACATACTGGAACCAATAGAAGAACTCTCAGAGGAAGAAAAAGGTAACAAAGGGCCTGAGCAGGGGCTATGTGTAGAGATTCTGCTGATATGCCAAGACCCATGCTTTGAAAATGCAAGCCAGTCTTTTTAAAAAAATTATGTTCCACCCAAATTAGGTAAACAGATCCGGTTTGGATTATATTTTCACAGAGTAGTCTGCTGTCAATCATATTCGGTTACATTATTCCCTGCTCTGGTATTCTCTTATGCAAGCAGTTGACGGAGAAGTTTTCCTGTGTCAAAGAACTTGAAAATAAGCATTAGGTCTTCACCTCAAGGCAGACGGATTTTGGTCGGATGATAAATCTTACAAATGTTTTGGGAACCAGTCAACTGGTATGAGAACACTTTGTCGGACTGTCATGAATTTTCATACTTTGAGGTGGGTGGGTCCAGTGCCCACTTAATTATTCCTAAGAGCAAAGGATGCATAATATCTAAACCCTGAATATGGAATATAAATGTGCAAAATAGCATCTGCATAGTTTGAGCTGGTCTTAGGAAATAACTAATTCTTTTATTTGGTAATCTTGAAAACTGCCCTCTATGTTTTTCTAAAAAAATAGGAGTTTTTCTAATGCCAGAGTTATAGATCTGGAAAACAATTATATTTAAATCAGTGCATCATCTTTTCCTTACTGATACCTAATGTGTTACTGTCTATCACTTTCGTAAGAGAAAGCTAATTTTAAATATTAAGTTGGGGTCAGGTTTTGCTATTTTTTTCAGGTAGAGAAATGAAATGATATATTAAAATATGTGAACCTAGTGTTTGTTATATTTCCTTTTGTTTTTTCTAGAGTTAAAAAATATTTTCCCAAGACTACAAATTGAACATTGATTAAATCAGGCATATGTTCATAATATCTCTGTGACATTTATTTTCCAGTCTTGGTTTTGTTCTATTCAGCCTTTTTGAGATTTTCAAACCAGGTTTATTCAGTTTGTTTTCTTGTGTGCTTGCAGTTCGTCTTGATTTTCTGCATTTTTGTCAAGCTATTTACATCTTCCTATTCGAGTAGCTGCTCAAAGTTGCCACAGATTTTGGATAGTATTTTAACTGTTTTATTTTTTTTCTACTCTTATGTGTTTGTAATCACCATTCCAACATTTATAAGTCCCATTTCTTTCAGAAACAAGAGTGAGTATAGATAACCGTAAAGCATAATAAAGCCATAAAGAGATCTTGAGAGCAAGTTTATGTTAGTTATATGAGCACAGCTGTCAGGCTCTTGTGTCAGACTCCCTTCATCCCATTGTCAAGGAAAGAAGGATGAGCAGGGTGGGTCATCAGCAAATACTTCCAGCAGTCATGAAGATGCCCAGGCCCCAAGCGGGAGGTCTGAAGGCCAAATCCATCCCCTGTTGGCAAGCATGTTAGAACCCACTGCCAGTATTTAAAGATCAGAATCTTTCATATGCATCTGTGGATTTCTGACTTCTCTGGAAAGAAAGAGGACAATCTGACAACATGCAGCAAGTCGGAGGAGCAGGCACTCCTTTAGCAAATGTGAGCTCCTTGGGCTAACACCCCTACTCTCCTCCAATACTCTGTCTTCTGCCAAGTTTAACTCCTTGGCTTGTTTGTGAGCCTTACAGGTAGCGCGTATTACTATTTAAAAGCACTGTCTGAATGATTTCAACCATCTCAGTTGGCTTGTGAGAGACAAGACGAACCACTCTTAATCCTCTTTCAATTTGTAATAAAAGTATCCTTTTACCTTCAAGTTGTGTACAACCTCTCTCCTCTGCACATATGCTTTATTAATGTCCAGAACCTCAGATGATTTAACCTTTTATTACTTGAACAGTCTGCAGTGTGCCAGGGGGTTCATCGAAAGGCTAATGTCATTGAAAAAGCGGGACCTCATGTTTAAAGAGGACATACTCCAAACCCATGTCCAACATGCCTCTTCGCCTTCCCTCTAGGTTCTACCTCGGCATCGTTTTGCCTGTACTTCACGTGTGGGCAAAAGCCATTTTGGGCTGTTACTACATTTGGGGGCCTGGATTGAGAGAGAAAATCTTTGTCACTCTCCATGGGTTCAGATGGAACTCTGGCGGGAGATGAAGAGATGATTGCAAGAGTGAGCAAACACCAGGCTATCTGTACACCTGTGCAGAAACCAGGGCCTGCATCCATCTTGTGCCTCTGTAGTGTCAGCACAGGGCAGATACATCCCCCTTAGTAAATCCCTGAGCTTGTGCTAACATTGTGAAGCAGGATTTTGCAAAAGCACTGGTTCTTACCAAGAAGCATCTCGTGGCTCTTCCTGCATATTTGCTTCTGAATAGAGTTGCGTGTTAGTCCGGGTAGGCTAGAGAAACAAATTCAGGGAGACTCGTGTGTAAGAGAGGACTTTATATCAAAGGGAAATTGTATATTAAGAAAACATCCCAGCCCAGTCCAGATCAAGTCCGTAAGTCCAGTATTGGCCTATGTGTCTGATATTAGTCCATAAATCCCTCTTTAGATGCACACAGCCATGCAATGGTGCCATATCCAGAAAGATCACAGGTCAGGGGGTGGAAAGCCCTGTAGATCCAGTGGCAGAGGCAGCATCTCAGCACTAGCATGGGTCTCCATGTGACTCCTCCTGCTCCAAGGCTCTGGTTCCATCAGTGTGTCCATGTGACTTGTCAACAGGAATGTGTAGCAGAGAGTGTGGGTCCTGCTTCCAGGGTGGAAGACAGGAGTTCCCAGAATCCTCAGGAGAAGGCTGTGCCCACACAGAGGCCTCATTGGCTATGACCTGATTGACAGGCTAACTCCACCCCTTCCCTCAAGTTGACAGTAGATTATGTAACTGTCACAGTCATACTTGATGTTGATGGCTGTTTTATAAACCAACCACTCTCATTGAGTCAGTTCTCACTCATAGTGACCCTGTTGAACTGTCTCAGTACATCTTTACAGGAGCAGAAAACGTCATCTTTCTCCCTCAGGGAACTGATGGCTTCCAGTTGCTGTCTTAATCCTGCACACCACCAGGGCTACTTTGCTATTTTATGGCTATTAGAATTCCAGGGGCCAAGGCAGGTTTTAGAAGCCATTGTGTGTTTTGAAAACTAGAAACACAGTGAGATTGGGAACTTGCTTCACGTTGTTGAGTTGAGGTGGTGACAGAGCTAAACTAAGTTTTCTGCTTCCCCGTAGTTGCAAGCAAAGAAAGAATGCTGGACTGCTCAGGTGGCCTTGTGGGAAGTCTCTCTCCTTTATGTGGAAAAGGAGGTTCATTACTTAGATGCTAGATAGTTTCTTACAATTCAGAAATTCTTCCTTTTATTTTTTTTCCTGTCACTTGCTTTGCACTACAACCATCTGCTCACCATCGGTGCTGTGTTGTGTGGCTGATCTACCTGATCACACGTGTAGCCGCCTTATGCCTTAGCATGGCCTTTTTCTTGTGTGTGCTCGTAAAACTTGCACCAGAGGACATGCTGACCTCAAGACAGCTTTGTCTGGTTTGTCTTGGTGAACAGTATGTGCTTTAACTCAAATCTTCAGATAAGTTTGATTTTGGATTGATCAAACCCACCTTTACATAAAAGCCTTATTTATATATTTTCGTCTATAGTCTTTTTTTTTTCAGAATATATGTGTATTTTTAATGCCGAATTTGGGTGAATTATGTAAATTCTACCTCACCAAAATGCTTAAAACCAACAAAAGAGCCTGTTAAGTACCTATTAAGACACTTAACCTGATAAAAGTCCAGGAAAAAGCAAGAAGTACGCAGAATCTGCAGGTTTTGTAAATGAGATACATACACATACATGAAATCATCTGAGAACAATTCGTCATTAGCTGTTGTTACTCTTAATTGTCATTGAGTGGATTCTGACTGACGGCAGCCCATGTGTGCAGGCTACTCCACAGTCTGCCAGTCCCATTCTGGTAGTAAGGCATCTCTCCCACTTGCTCGTCCATGTACTTGCTCGTACTTGGAAAGTACTTGCTCATACAAGGAACGCCCCAAAGAATCAAGTCAATTTGAGGACATAAGGAGACGTACTGCCTTACTCTGGTGAATTTAGTTATCAAATTGTACTTGACATCAGGAGGGAGAGTTCAAAGACAGACCTGGACAAATAAGCAAATGAATCTAACAAGTGCTCTCGAACTAAAGGCTATATATAACTTCTGAGTGGTGGTGGCTAAGCTACTGTTGGCATCACTTAGACCAGTGGTTTCCAACCTTCCTAATGCCATGACACTTTAATACAATTCCTCATATTCTGGTGACCCCCCAACCATAAAATTTATTTTCGTTGCTATTTTATAGCTGTAATTTTGCAACTGTTATTAATCGGGTGACCCCTGTGAAAGGGTCGCTGGACCCCCAAAGGTGTCATGACCCACACTGTTATTAATTGGGCGACCCCTGTGAAAGGGTTGCTGGACCCCCCAAAGGGGTCGTGACCCACAGTTTGAGAACCGCTGACTTTAGTGACCCCCCAGGCCCCGGGGCCTCTCTTTAGGCTAAACTTCTGTGCAGTTTGCTTTCTATCTAAGATGTTGGCAACCAATTTGCCTTTGCCCAATAGTAGATAGGAAGTAGGGAAGTTGCATTTGTTGAAATGGCAGCATCCTGACTTCCAGGCTTTGCCTTTCCTTTTTGTCCCAGATACACAAGTAAGTAAAAAAGGATTATTACCAAATGAATCATAGACATTATACTTACAGTGCTGCATTATCAGAAATAAACAATAATCAATCAGTGGATAATAGGCAGACAGGCAGGATGAGCAGTTCTGAATGAGTAGCCATCTGTGGTCAGTATTATGCGTCTCTTCTCACTGGAGTCTACATGAAAAAAGTTAAACCTTTGGGAATAATTAGTTCACAGGACTAGTGGACCACATGAACCTCAACCTCTACCACCATCAAACCGGAACTAGATGGGACTCAGCTCCTACCGCTGACATCCCTGAAAGGCATCACAACAGAGGGTCCTATATAGAGCGGGAGAAAATTATGGAACAAAAATCAAAATAATAAAAATAGCCAGGTTTACTGGGAGGACAGACTGGTGGAGCCCCCAATACTGTAACCTTTGATCACCCTTCAGGTCTGGGAAAGAACTTACCGCTCTCTGAATTGCAGCTAAACAGTAGATCCAGGGACCGCAACACTAGGGAGGTATACCACTGATTTTATACATCCAAAGAGCAGAATTTGCCCCTGGACAGAGGTCAGAAGGTAGGAAGGACAAGTGGAAACAGGAGACACGGGAGGGAGGAGTGGAGGGGTGGGGGTGGTCAGTGGAGGAAGTAATATTACATTGTGGGGCTGCAGTCAATGAGATGAAATTCTGTTTATGAAGTACTGAATGGAAAACCAATTTGCTCTATAAGCTTTCACTTAATTCACAATAAAGCTGTTCTGTAAACAGAGTCAACTTTATTAAACCAGACTATCAAAATGAGAATTTGAATATTAGAGTCTACTCTGCCAAGTGCTGTGTTGTTAGGTGTTTTCTTTGAGTTGGCGCCAACTGGTAGCTCCTGACCCAGTGTCCAGCAGAACAATGCTGCCTGGTGCTGCCCGTCACCACAGTTGACATGCTTGAGCCCGTCCTTGCGGCCACTGTGTCAGTCCTCCTTGAGGGCCTTCCTCTTTTTGCTCTGATCCTCTGCTTTATCAAATAGGATGTCCCTTTGCAGGAGTCGAGTCTTCTGGGTAACATGTCTGCAGTGAACGAGACATGTTATCTCACCATTCTTAATTCTGTGTAGCATTCTGGCAATATTTTCTCCAAGACAAATGTGCTCGGTCTTTTAGCAGTCCACACTGTATTCAATATTCTTTGCCAACACCATAGTTCAAGTGCATCAAATCTCTTGCCTTCCTTATACCTTTTCTAGCTTTTGCACGCACACGAGGCAATTGAAAATGCCAGGAGGACCTTATTCTTTCCAACGACACCTTTGTTGATAGCCCCCACACCACAGATTTATTGAAGGCAATATGTTGTTTAGGTTCTTGGATTATGGATCCAAGTGAAATGAAAGCCTTGGCAGCTTCTATCCTTTTTCATTGATCATGACATTTCCTGTATTGCCTAACTCGTGAGGCATTGATTTTTCTTTCCTAATCATTTTATTAGGGGCTCATACAACTCTTATCACAATCCATACATACATCAATTGTGTAAAGCGCATTTGTACATTC